GCTGAGAAAAAGCCAGAAAAGTAAACCACTTCCTGCTGGCATCTCGACACCAACGGCAGAAAATATCATGGGATGATATGGAAGGAACTCATTAGTGAGTGGCATTTAAGCTGCAAACCCATAACATGAACCGGGGATTTATAATATCAACAGAAAATGATTGGCAAGTCCTAAACTGGTGGAGATATTCAGGCTCTCCAGTGACTGTGTTAACAAAACAATTTAAAACTGTGCTGTTGGGGAAACATTATTTGATCTTATGTAAATTGCAGCTCTATATTTGGTAACACTTAATGACCATCCACTGGCAACAGGAACATGGTCCTTTCTGGTTGAACGAGTTATTCAACCAGGAAGAGCCATAAATAATTCTACTGCTGCAAATGTAAATCCACAGGCAAAAGATTTATCTGTGCACATTGCATCATACTGAGCGGGGAGTTAAGTCAGTGGAAGTTAATTTTAGTAATTTGTTTAAGAAGAAATAATTTTTCATAACCAAAAACCTGGCCCATTTTTTGAAGACAGCTTACACTATCATTTCAACATTAGTTTTTATACTGCAGCCAGTAAGATCATTACTCTGCATTGGAGTACACTGTTATTGCTGTAACATTTAACTAATAAGATGCAGCACAAAAATATATCTGAACATTTATGTTCTTTTAAGCATTTTAAATATATTCTTTATAGTCTTTAAAGAACAGATAAACACATCAGGAGTTATAAACATTACTATGCACTAGTCAGCACATTCACATTACATCCAGCTTTTTCCAGATAAAGCACTTTTAATGGAGCAGCTCAGTTATAACACAGTCGATTTGAATCCACATTTTACCATTTAGTGTTTGCTTCTGTCGGAGTCACATGTTGACGCAATAATCGCCTTTTGCGGCAAAAAATGGTCAAAATATGCCAGAGAAAATACACAAAAATATAATATAACAATACAACTAAGAATACAAATACACTGATTATGAACTGAAACACTTATAGCAACTTTAAAAGGTGTTTCTGATGAATATATCTTCTTAAATAAAACACAGATAAAATTTTTCTCGTGTTGTGCTCGTGACAACATTTCTATGACCTTTTACATCACAGAGATAACCTTGTTTTCCCATGCATTTGCACTTACCATACTGTATAGGTTAGCGTGTTGTATAGACCAATCCAGTGACCAATTTGTGTGTTCCACCATTTTTCAGTGCCAGAGACAGCAGCAAGGGTATTTGGATCGACGATAGCAGGGACTGGCCCCTAATTACTGTTTGTATGTAATGCTGACTTTGTGAAAGTGTGGCTAACCTTGGTACATGCTTATATTTCACAATCTAAGGAGCTTGGAAAGAAAAGCATCTGGACTTGTTTAAGTTGCTTGAAGACGTTTCACCTCTCATCCGAGAAGCTTCTTCAGTTCTAAGGTTAAATGGTGGAGAGTCCCAGATTTAAACCAAGTGGGAGTTTTCCCCCCAAAGAGGGACAAAGGACCCCCTGATGATCCTCTACCTAATCACATGAGCCAAGGTGTGAAAACGGGTGTGGGTCACAATCAACCAGGGTTTCGGGTGAGCTCATTATGAAACCTGGCCCCACCCTATCATGCGATTTCCTGAGGTCAGATGGCCCAGGATGTGAGTGGGCGTTAAGGCGTCTGGGAAGGGATCTCAAAACTGGATTATAGATGGCAGACAGTTGGTGTCGTAAACCCCCGCCTCTGTTCAAAGATGGTCGCTCACAGTGGACATAAATGGCTTCTTTCACTCCTCTTTCAAACCATCTGTCCTCTCTGTCCAAAATGTGAACATTGGCATCCTTAAAAGAGTGACCTTTGTCCTTTAGATGCAGATGAACTGCTGAGTCTTGTCCCGTGGAGGTGGCTCTTCTATGTTGTGCCATGCGCTTGTGAAGTGGCTGTTTGGTCTCTCCAATGTAGAGGTCTGGGCATTCGTCCCTGCACTGTACAGTCCAGGCGCTTTTCTTTCTAAGCTCCTTAGACGCCGATGACCTGGATGACTGAGAGCCTTCACAGACATATATTTCACAATAATGCTACAATTGGTTGCCTGAGTTGGTTTATTCTGTGACCATTGCTTCCCCTCATTAACATTAGCTAAGCATTGTTAACCTAGCTGATGTAACGGTGCTGCTCTCACAGTGCCTTTCAGGCTGAGTAACTTCTACTTGATAAGCTACGTAGGCAGATGCAAACTAAAGATACAACTAAATATAGTACTCTTATCAACAAATTAACAAATTCTGTTAATATTCTTCATCTACTTCTTCCAAACGCTGATCCTCTAACAGGGGTACATTTGAGCTTTCCATGAAAATTAAATGAATGGTACTCTCTTAGAGTAGTTGACCTTTGGTACTTTATTTGTCTATAAAATCTGTTGTATGTTTCAGTGCATATATTTTTAAGATAAATACCTTAACAGGTTTCTTGCGTGATGACTCAGCCTCATTGTTTTCAGCCTCCTCATGCTCCTTGCTACCTTGAGGCAGGTTAGAATAGTTGGCCAGGCTACTGAGAAGAGATGACACCATGGGGCTGGTGTCCATCTCCTCCTGCAGAAAAACAAGCAGACAGGAAGGTTGCAATCAGCATTTTAGCCAATATTATTAACAATCTCAATCAAACAAGTGAACTCTATAAAATGACCAATCACTTAGTGGCTGTTTCCATAGATCATTGCAGATAAGAAGCCATTTAATCTACTTGCTATCCTCTTTTGTGGATTTCAGCTCATTTGAAACAAAAACAAGTGTGCACACCATAAACCCCCTTTTCCTGTTCAATCTAGAAATCCCACTGAGAAGACATTGTAAATACATCTGTGCAGAGCGGAGGCAAATTGCCTCATTGAGGTTCAATCCTGCACCACTCTGAGATTTTCTTGCTTTAACCTGAGGTTCCCACATGCCCTTCACACAGTAATTACCCTCATTAATCGATGTCAGAGCCCCTATTCAATCACTGAATTGTGAAAACGAGTGTATCCCGCTTCTTACCATCGCATCTGATTGTGTGTGTTAACAAAATCAATGTGTGCATGTGCGTATGTGTGTGTATGCGGAGTATTGCATTATACCTCAAACAGGGCCATGTTCTTGCGGTCATATTGCTGAGTCTTCTCTGTGGCAGCATCACTGCTGTTGATGAAGGGGCTGCTTTCCTTGGGGTTACTGTCTCCTGGAAGAAACAAACACACATCTACTTTTAGAGTGGTCTGAAATAAAGCAGAGGACAAAGAGCATGTTAGGGGAGAGGATAATGCACAAGTCAGACAAAAGATTCCTGATGTCAAAGGAATCCTTTTTGCAACAACTAAAAGTAACAACTTTTAAAAATAGGTAGACTTTTGGAATAAATACTTTTTTATCGTTAAAATAAAGAAAAAACACACAGAATGCTCAAAGCAGAGGACGTCTGATAAGGAAAGCTTGCCATCTCCTTGAAGCAGTCAGAAATGCTGAGCAAGAGAAGCATACCTAATGGACTGTGTGTTGACAATATGTGAAGTGCTATGTATTCCATATGGCCATAGGAAGAAGACAACCTGGACGTGTCAACCAGTGTTTTCACCTCACTGAAAAACAACATCACAACTCTGAACGCAAACACAAAAAAAATGGTCTACAACCCGGCAGCTTTTCTTACCCTGAACAAAAAAAACCCCTGACTTGTAGAATCAGCCTGATAGTGACAGCTCGCTGAAGGCAACATGACTCTATCGAAAAGCATCTGTCTACGAGTTCACAGGCCCAGAAATAGGGCCAGAACAAACAAATCCTCGAAACAACGTGTAGTGAGAGGGAAGCATCCAGCTCTTTGCACATTCATTGATTCTCATTATCTGAGATCAAGAAGTTCATTGATTTCTAATTGACATTTGAAAATTCAGTACACCTCAGGCAGTGTTCAATCTATTTTTCCCCTTTATACCGTGAGCAACTGCCTCCTATAAAACACTTTCTTGACATCTCCCTCAAAGCAGCAGGATTTTATTTTAAGGACTAAAATCTTTTTGTCATAATTATGTTTATGACAAAACTTTACTGGGTGTAATTTCAACTGACTGTTCATTGTATGATATGGAACTGATAGAAGAAATACTATTTTCTGTGCATACAATTTTAACACCTTGATTGGGTCTTCACAATAGATACAGTGGACACTTTAGTAGCTACACCTTGCTATTATAAGCTTAAGACCCACTTTTACCTTCAGACCTGCCAAAATTCTTAATATTGTTGATTGTACAAGGTGCTGGAAACATTTTTCAGATATTCTGGTCCATACTGACATGATAATATCACTGAGCAGTTGCAGGTTTGTCAGCTGCGCATCCATGGTATGAATCTCCTGTTCGTATCATGGAGATATGAACAGGAGATTTGCAGCATCCCAAAGGTGCTCTTTTCCATTGTGATCTGGTGACTGCAGAGTGCAGTGAACTCATTGTTATGTTAGGGAAACCGGTTTTAGATGGTCTGAGCTTGCTGGAAGCAGCCATCAGAAAATCTGTACAATGTACAATCAGTCTTTTGTTATTTAGGTTTTTTAATCTATTTTTTCATTCTGTTTTAAGATGCTTCACTATTGATATCGTTTTTTAATTGTGTTATTATTGTTTGCGACTTTTATCTCTGTAAAAGGAGCCATATAATACAGGGGCTATAAAGGGATGGACATGGTCAGCAACCATACAGTGTGCACTGTGGTAACCATCATGAAAAATGACAAAACCAAAGCTGCCAGTCAAACTTCCAGTTGATCAAGACAGAAACAGGACCCTCTTGGTCTGGTGACAAGTAATCTTTACTGCTGCAAAATGGACCAGACATAAGGACTTTATTGCAGTAAGCAGAGTCACACCAATTGACTCTCCAGACTGATGTGCATACACATATAAGTAAATACACACACAGTTACACATATATACAAACTTTCTTCGTGTATACAGGACATTGATCAGGACTCAATAAAGGGATCAATAAAGACGGGACTCACATAAAGATGGGCACAGGCATCAATTAATTCTTATCAGTGTCGCTCGCTACAATGTAGCACTCTTCTTCTAGTATTCAAATGAAATGAAAGTTACTAAAATCCTGTGTGGACCCGTAAATCAATCCAAACATAGCCACTCGACAGAGATGTGTGAAAGACTGATATATTGCAGTCATCAATCAAACCTTTGAATGTCACCAACACTGCAGAGTGACATTTTCTTTCTGAAGGAAACACGCAGCAAAAAAAAAAAAGGGATAAACCTTCCAGACGGTTACTTGTAAGCGTGTTAGCACAGTTAGCACCATCCTACATCTTCATGAAAATTCAAGGTGTCTGTTTACATTATGCATTGATATTTATTGCTCTAACCTTTCTTTTGGCTACGTACTTGAAATGCTTGGTCACCAGAAATTTGCACTTCTCTAGAAAAATAATTGCATTCACAACCATTTTATACATAAAGTACAATGAAGGTCTGAGTGGTGAAGGTAGTGCAGAGTGAGCCATCTTATTCGCGCCTTCCCCTTCGAGCATCTCTTGAGGGAGACAGCAGATTGCGCTCCCTCTGGCTCTCGGTCCTGTCTTGGACTGCGAGACCGAGTTATTTATAGCCAAGATGCCGCAGCCATGTGCCATGACGTTGGGGCACCGCTAACAGCCGGCACACTGTTCTAACAGAGATGGAGCAGTAGACAGGGACACTGAGAAAAGGGGCCATGCATGAAGATTCGGAGCATAAAAAGAGCACAGGGAGGTTAACACAAAGAGATGGAAAGTGAGAGAATAAGAGTACTGATGAGAAGATGAAGAGAGACACAGATAGATGGGGCAAGAGTAAACAGTGACAAAGAGAGAGCGATACAGGCTCAGACAGGACAAAGACGAGGCAGCCAAATCTGAAATGGGAACCCGCAGAGAGAGAAAGGGAGATGCAAAAAGAGGGACGCTCACGTCTGCTGCTGCAAAATGTAAAAGCTTCTGCAGCACTAAAGGTTCAGCTCACTTTGACCTCCAGGTTAAAACATACACTATGGTTAAAAGGAGGCCGGAGCATCTAACAGAGGGTTTTCAGAGCATGTGGATTATTTAGCTGGTTTATTTTCACTTTGTCAGAGCGAATCAGGATGATACAGTGTTGTGCCTCGCTTGAGATAAAACAAAATGAGCCTTCTTGTGCCCAGCAGAGATTAGACAAACATCTACAAACACACATATACACAATACACAGTCTGACTAATACACGGATGAATCTGTCTGTTCGTCGCCCATCTCAACATCAAACTTGCTTGATATGATGCTGGGTAAGTGCAGTATTGAGTTTGACGTTGGGGGACTTCTCTCTGTTACTAGGCAACATCATCAACTGGCAACCTCATAATGATGTCACAGTTCAGATAACATATTTTATAAACCTCCTCTGCCTGCGGCATCTACCTTTGCTCATGCTAACGTGCCTGTGACAGCAGGCGCTGCTTTCAAATGCTTCTGTTTTCTATTCAAATTTGATTTAGAGCTAAAACACTTTTGACTCTTACAGTACATTTATTTGCTACTTTTTCCATTTTTTCATCATTAAAAAAAGATCTTAAAATTAGAGCCGGAAATTTCTCCACAATCCACTGCACAATATAGACAGTAAATAACTGATGTGATGGCTTTAAATGGTGCTCACACCATATCTGAACTGGAAAGAGATTTTTTGTATTTTGAACCTTCCAGTTTGAACGAGGGCAACAAATACTGGTACTGGACACAAATGTGAATCAAATATGAATTTTCTCCATCCAAGGGATATTTTACTAAAACAGATCTTCACTCTTTCATTTACCCTTAAACAGCTTTATGTTTGTCTAAATCTCCTCATCCTCCTTGCTGATAGACATGACAAGTGTTTTTTTTTTGTTTTTGTTTTACATTTTTATATTAATGTATCTATTTTTATTGTAGGTAACTGTATGCATACTGTAAAGGCATGTCTTCAGAAATCTGTAGTTCCATTTATTCCTGATAATCTGGTTTTAAAAATTAAATGTATATTTTGCTTCATTAAACAGAAACCAAATTAATACAGTGAGTTAAGAAATTACTATGTTTTTATCTGACTTGGAGTAAAACTCATCTAGAGGTACCCAAAATGTATCTTTGCAGGAAAAACCCCAATATGATGATTATGAAAGTTTGGATGCACAATGTAGGTTTGTAAATGGGACACTGTCTGTTATGTTAAATTGTAATTTTTCCAGTCTTACATATATGCAGTTTGTGCTTATGCTATTTGCAAAGACAGATTTTAATTTCAAAGAACTAATTCCTATAATCACTGAACCTTCACTGGTATTCATATAAACAATACCAGAAATGAGACAGTTGACATTGGAAAGGGAAGCTATAGCTGCAAATACAGTCTGGTTTATAATGCCGCTCTGAGTCAGTATGATCAAATGCTACTTGTCAGATGAGGAATGAAAGAGCGATGGTGAATCATGAGTCAAACAGCTGCAGCCAGGTGATGGGAGCGTGACTTAGCGTCTCAGCCTGAAAGCCACGTTCCATTTCCTGATGTAAACCACACGACACAATCCTTCCGGTTTCTCAGAACTATAAATTATCATTACACAAACTTACTCCTGTGGATAACGGAAAAA